ACTGAGGAGTGAGTACCACTGGGTGCCCCAGGACAAGCACCTTCAGCTATCCACATCCACCCTGCGCCCGGGCACGCACGTGGAGCTCAGCTGCAGGCTGGCTCAGCTGCTTTCCACACTCTAATTCTGTCTCTAATTTAAATCCCACCACAAAGTCCCTGCCGGATGTTTAATGGGAGCTGGAAGCAGTGTGACAGGGAGTGGGTTTATCTTGCTTCACCCCCATCAGCGGAGGTTTTGCAAGTCAGGCTGGGATCAGCGCAGGGAGGTTCATGAACCTGTGGGCAGTGGGAGCCCCAGCATGTGGGGTCTGGTCCCTCCAGACCCCTCTGCCCTGTGGGGTCCCAACGTGGGGTTTGCTGACAGCATCTCTGCCCTCTCCTTGCAGGAAGGTGCCGATGTTCGGCCTGGAGGCAGTCTGGCGGGATGGGGAGGTGGTTGGCCACATCCGTCGGGCAGACTTTGGATTTGCCATTGACAAAACCATTGCCTATGGCTACATCCGTGACCCAGCGGGGGGCCCGGTGAGTGCAGCCTCCGAGACCTTGCCAGGAGGACGTAGCACTGGTTTCAATTTGAAGCCACCTGCACAAACCCATCGGATGCCGAGCGATGCTGCGGCTCAGCGCGGGGTTGGTCTCCAGCTCGAGTGCTGCTCAGTTAATTGCAGCTGAGTAATTGTAGCAGTGAATTAACTTATGTCATACAGACCAGTAGCCAATACGCTTGCAGCAGCCTCCTAATTAACCCTGGTTCTCCTGGGTAGTAAATCAGATGCCCTCATTAAGCAGCATGCTGCAGGCAGAGGCCAGGGAACCTTAGTGGGGACAGAAGGCTGCGGATGATGTCCCCAGAGACTCTCCCTGTTGCAAACCAAGCGCAATGCATATGCTTGTGATTTCATCCTCTTGCTTGCCTTGATTTTTAATCCTGCATCACTGGAACATTCCCAGGTCAAGTGATTTTGTGTTCCAGTTGCCCCCTCCGACCCTGAAGGGATCTTTTCTCCTTATGGTGAATGTTCTGCCCTAGATGTTCCTTTCCTTTTCCACTCTCTCCTCTCCCTGTTACTCTTGCTCTCCCATTTGTCCCTGCCTGTCCCTCTATGCAGCCCCTGGCATGGCTGCTCAGCACCTTGCCATGCTGCTTGTGCCCCATTAGTTTTCTTCCCAAGGATGTGGCCCTTCAGTGACCGGGTGTGATCTCCCTGGCTCTGGGGTCAGGGATGTCTCTGCAGCATCAGGGCTAGAGAGTCACAGGAGCACAAGAGGGGCAGGGGGTGAAGCAGGGAAGAGAGAAACAAACGTTCTGTGATGATGAATTACTGACAATTCCCAGCACTGCGTGGCCGCACGGGCTCAGCTCACGCCTGTCACGCCAAGTGGTGGCATCCCAGCTGCCACCACAGTCCCCTCCTGCAGCCAGGGCTCACCTTGTGGGGTGTTGGGGTGGCCCCTCTGGCAATGAGCTCCCGCAGCCTGGCTCTAAGTGCACTTTGCACCGGGCGCCAGTGAGAAAATACACAGAAAAACCCAAACCAGCCTCTTGAAAAAATGAAATAGTGCATTGTCTTTATTTGTTTTCAGCTGAGTGCTTTTAACAATCCATTTCCCTCCTCCCTGTGTATCCTCCTGGGGCACCAGAGCTGGGTTTCTGTGGGAAGCAGCTCTGTGGGAGCTGGCCCAGTGTTGGAGCTGGGATGCTGGCGGGGGCTGGTGCCTGCGGGGGTCTCACGGCGCCTCTTGGGGTGTTCTCCATGGCTCGGCCCTGCAGGTCTCGCTGGATTTCGTGCGGAGCGGCAGCTACAAGCTGGAGCGGATGGGGGTGCCCTACCCTGCACAGGCACACACCAGGTCCCCGTTTGACCCGGACAACCAGCGCGTGAAGGGCTTCTACTGAGCACAGGGCTGGCGAGCGGGGCTGCGGATGCAATGGGAGAGGGAAGATGCCATTAGGAGCTGCCAGCTGAATTCCCGGCCCCAGGTGCTCCAGGCAGCTCCAAGGTCTGCTGGGAGAGCCAGGGAATCGCCTGCAGCGAACTCATCAACCAAAATTGGGTCAAATTATAGGCGAAGACGAGAAGGAGATGCCAGAAAGTCCTAAGATGATGTTGCTCTGTTTTCTAAATGAAACAGTACCACTAAAGCAATAATTCTTTTCCTTGGGTTAAGTGGCCTGAAAACAACGTTTTGCTTGACTGCAAATGAAGTGGTTTCAATTTTTGACTTCGCTGGAAACTCTTTCTCTCAAAATGTAGTTTCACGCTGTCTGGAAATGGATGTTTTAAACTAACTGCTGTTAATACAGCTGTAGCCTCCAAAGCTGCCATCCCAGTGGTCCCTTCCTGCATCTGTCCCTGCTCTGACAGTGTCACCTGCCCTGGCTGTGCCCTGGGGATCCGGAGCTGGGGTGGGAGCACTCGGGGGCTGTGGAGGGAAGGGGCAGGAGGCCCAGGGACATTCACACGGTGGATGCTCTGCCCACTGCAGGGTTGTTCTGCACCGTGAAGTTGTTGGCTTTACCCAGGGGGTTCCACGCATGTTCTTCCCATCTCCACAAACACAGGTTTGTCTCCACCCCAGTCACGGGGGCAGCTTCAGGTCCTGCTTTGGCAAAATGCTTCATTGTGGCTCCAAAGTTCAGCGTGAGTTTAAGCACCAGCCTCTGTCGCTTCCAGTGGTAATCGGCACCTTTAGGAAATGAAGCCTGGGGTGTGACACATGCAGGTTTTGTTGGTGGTGCCCCAGCGCTGTCCCAGTGTGCACTGGCTGTGCCAGAGGGTCCATCTCCAGGTCTGAATGATGACCTTGTCCTCCTGAGGGAGCAAAGGCGAGTTGCAGTTTTCAGCAGGGGGGATGGGGCCATAGTTGGTGCCCAGGAGCCTCAGGGTTCGAGATGAGCAGAGCACAGTGGTGCTGTGCAGCCCTTGTTTCTTAACTGGGGAGAGGTTCTGGTGCTGTGCCGCAGAGAATGAAAACCACTCCCAAAGGCGAGTGCTGTTGAATCTGGGTCCTTGATCTCTGCTGAAGCTTTTACCTGCCTGAAGAAATAATCACACTGCATGCTTTTCACTTTATTTCCCTTGACTAGGTTCGCTTGGTTTATAACCTCTTTAGAGCTGATTTCAATTCCTCAGCTTCATGCAACAAGCGCCACGGGCAAGAGCTGGAACTCTCAAATGCTTTGGTTTTACTGGAAACATTGAAAAACAAGATTGAGATGAATTTTTCTCTGAACAGGAGGTGATTGCACCCTCTGATCCTGCCCTGGTGGAGAGCAGAGAAGGTGGCCAGTGTCCTGTCTGTTTGTCCTGGGGATAAATGAGGGACCGAGAACGCTGGCTCCCTACCAGGGATCCACTGCATGCCTGCTAGGACCAGGTTTTGCTTCAGAAAGGCTTTTCTGATCCCCCATGTTCTGACCCAAGATCTCCCTTATCCCAGGGTGGACAGGAGGGCAGGATTCAGCTGCCGCCTGACCTGGATCCCCCCGTCCCAGCGCAGCAAGGGGCAGGCACCCAGCCAGGACCAATGGGCTCCGTGCAGGACCAATGGGCTCCGTGCAGCACCAATGGCCTTTCCTCAGCTTCTCCCGAGCGTTTTCCCTTTGGAGCTCAGCAGCAAAAAGCGATTTCTAATTTTTTTTTATTTTACATTTAGATGTTTAATGGAGTCATTTTTCCTACCAAAAGATTTGTCTGTCTCCCCCCTCCCCACACCATGTCCCTCCTCCCCATCCCTCCTCCTTTCTAACCCCACCACAGAGGTATCATTTGTTCCCAGCCACTGGCATCTGGTGGCATCAAGACAAATAATCCCCAGCATGGGGGAGCGGGAGGAGAAGCGTGGTGGGGAGCACAGTCCCTGCAGCAGGGAGACGAGCATGGGGGGGCGGGTGTCACAGCATCCCTCCCTCCATCCCTCCTTTCTTCCATCCCCCCCTCCGTCCTCCTGCCCCTGCTCCAGGTGCTAGTGTAGGAGAGTGCCCATGGAGCCACCCCAGGCTAGGCAGGACCGTGGGGCGCTGGGAAGGCTTGTGTGCTGCTGCTGCTCCCACACAGGTCTTTGCTCTGTGCCTCAGTTTCCCTGCAGGAAAACAGGCTTCTCCCCCTTCCCCGGGGCCATGCTGGGTTCGGCACAATAGCAAACCTCCACGTTATTATTCTGGGGGCGGAAAGCAGCATTACTCAGAGCCAGGATTGCTAATAACACACTAAATATAGCGCTTTCCATCTCCAGAGTACATTCTGAACTCGAGCTCATGAGCCCTAACCCCCTCCCAAGGCAGGGGCCAGGGCACCAGTCAGCATTGCTGTGTGGGCAGGGATGCCGGGAGAGGGACAGGATAATGTTCCCGTAGATGCTTCTGCCTGGGGGTGCTTCCCATGGAATGGAAGGAGCAGACGTCGGGTCAGTCCCTCCCGAGCTCGTCCAGGTCGAGGGGGACGGGGGCCGCAGG